TCCTGCTGTAAGTGTTATGTGCTCTGGGAGGGATCAACAGTTCCTGCTGTCAATGTTATGTGCTCTGAAAGAGTCAACAGTTCCTGCTGCAAGTTTCATGTGCTCTGGAAGGGTCAACAGTTCCTGCTGTAAGTGTTATGTACTCTGGAAGGGTCAACAGTTCCTGCTGTAAGTGTCATGTGCTCTGGAAGGGTCAACAGTTCCTGCTGTAAATGTAAAATTGAATCCATTTTTCTCTGTTCTTTATTTTTTTGGCCCAATTTTTCTCTATTCTTTATTTTTTTGGCCCAATTATTCTCTATTCTTTATATTTTTTGCCCGTTATTCTCTATTCTGTATATTGTTTGCCCATTATTCTCTATTCTTTATATTTTTTGCCCATTATTCTCTATTCTTTATTCTTTATATTTTTTGCCCATTATTCTCCATTCTTTATATTTTTGGTCCATTTTTATCTATTCTTTATATTTTTGCCCATTATTCTCTATTCTGTAAACCCCCATCCACACCCTCAATTCTGGTCTTTGTGATGCAGTCTGCCAAAAAGGGGGATCTACATTTGGGGACTTTCATTATTTATTCCTTAACTTTTAGACTATTTTCTCTATTCTTTATATTTTAGCACCCCATTTTCTCTATATTTTTTTTCCTTTATTCTGCACTATTTGCACATTAAAATTTTCAATGCACTGATGATTTTTCTCCTTACGACTATTTTTTCTATATATTAACAGGATGTAACATAAATTGAAAACTACTGCGACATTTATTATGCAATAATATATATTAAAAACAACGTTTGCGTATGTGAAATGGACGTAAATTAATTGTAGAGCTACAAAAGGTAAACATACATTCATCACATTTATCATCTTTATCACAATAAATCAGATTTATCAAGTTGAGTGGAAGAGATCGATTTATTGTTATAGATTGTCCACAATTTTGTCCAGTGGCCGGATGAATAGGGTGATATAATCCAACTTATAAATGAACATTTTATTGTATTGGTGACGACTTTGATTTTCGGTGAACAAGAAACATATTGGCGGTCGGAATATTGATTTATTTATTTTCGATTTTTGTACACAATTATATCCTACATTTTCTTAGGATGAATGCATGATCATTAATAATAATTTTCAATTTACCCTGGATAAAATTATAATATATTTTTGTTGGTTCCTACTCGGCAAGATAATAATATATAAATATTGATTTTCAGTTCATATTAGGCCAAGATATTCTTTTTCGAAATCCTCCTGGTCCCCGTATGAAATACAACGAGCTGCTACAATACACCAGTCATTACAACACTTGATCGAGTTAACCAAGCATCAACAATTGTTTTTTCCTCGAGAGTAAATCCCATTTAATGATACCATTGAAGTTTACAGTAAACCTTACTTGCGATTATTCTGAGCACCACGATTGAACTATTTATGAGGGGTTTGAATAAGGGGGAAGCAGGGTCGGGGGGGGGGGGGGGGGGGGAGTGAGTCAATGGACAGGAACCGTGAGAAGAAGGGAATAACAAATAAGGGTATGCTAGAAATGTTTCTTGGACTGATTTGTGTCTGGGAATAAAGGGGGGGATTGGGAGTAACTTGAGGGGGAGGGAAGTGGAAGAAATGGAGGAATTGGGAGTAAAGGGGGAAGAGGGAATCAAAGACCCCCTGTCTACACTCTCAGTTTATATTGCCACATGTTTCATCACGTCTATGCTTACCTAACCAAATTCACCCAAAACAAGGTAAGACAAGCATACTAGGTTAAGTACAATGTGGTAAAAATATTCAGTGAACACAATGAACAAAAATATCCAAATATTGTACGCCTGCACATGCGGACATAAATTATACTTTACTAAAGTATTGGACTTTATTTTTTCGAATTTGGTATATGGATGTGTACAGATCATTCTATAAAGTATACTAGAGCCAGAAAAAAAGTCTCCTTTTGATAAACTGAATTTTATAGATAAAAGTCCTCTTGACAAATTCACAATATTCTTTGTAAAGTTACACTTGGAATAGAGAAATGTGCTAGTAACATTGCCTCTGGATCTGAATTAGGAAGATTCACCCTTTGTTGTTATATTGCCGCACACTCACTTTTGTACGAAGACCGACTTTTGAATGAAAACTCATCTGATTTACTTAAAGAGTGTCATTCTCTTTCAAAGTCACTTCATGATCAAGGTACATAATCATGGTACTCACAAGTAAATTAGATTAGGTCCGTTAATACTATTAGCCATCTCAAAGATGAATCTAAAAACAAATACAGAGCCTGTGAGAATCTTAGTAGAAATAACTATAAAAATGAATTTGAAAAAAGATACAAAGAAATATATGACGATAAGATATCATCTCTTGATCAAAATTGTAAACTCCTTTTGTTTATACATATAAAAACTGACATAGCCTAATCTTGATACAATAAAACTTATTTGCAAATTTCGGATTAGTGATCATTCCCTCGCTATTGAAACTGGAAGATATATTCCACGCCCTCAAAGACTGTGTAACAAGTGCTAAGTTCTGGACGATGAATCCCATTTCTTTTTATAATGTAAAATAAACATTGATAAAAGACAAGTCTTTTTTAAACGATTTAAAAACCACGCTGAAGTACGTCCATTATTCATTTTTCATTATTCAAAATTAAATAATGAATAATGAAATAGTTCACTATTCACTATTCAATATCAAGTGATGAATAATGAATAATGAAATAGTTTATGTTTCATTATTCAAGTTAAAGCGGTGAATAGTGAAATAAAAATAAAAAAATTGACTGTGACATTTTAGCTATATCCCGTATTTCTAAATTAGTCTTTTTGGTGTTATCTAACAAATATTCAAATTGATATCAGTAAAAATAAATAAAAACACTCTTTAAATTCTAATTTGATTTATTTATCTGGTTCCTAGTTTCGGAGGATAAACTAGGGGGTTTTCCTAACTATTTTTAACAGAAATTCCTTGGTTCAATGTATGGACGACCTGAATACCAAAACATATATTTATAAATTAAAATACTCTACGTAGTCTTTTTTTATTTTCACTGGACCTTTGCTATTCCTCATCCTCTAATTATAGATATAACAAGTCGATTGTTCAGCAATGACCATTAGAGGGGTTACGGAGGACCTAAATGCCAAAATACGCGTGAAAATTAAGAAATAGCCAATTTTGAATAATGAAATGGATATTTTGAATAATGGAATGGACTGCTGCGACCCTTTAGCCCCTAATTATAGATATACCTTATAACGAAGTAACGAAGTAACGAAGGACCTAAATATCGAAATACGCGTGAACATTAAGAAATAGCTTATTTTGAATAATGGAATGGACTGCTGCAGCCCGTCAGCCCCTAATCAAGGAAAAATTTATACACCAAATTAAAGCTTATTGATAGAGGAATAAACTGAGTATAAACGATATGTGCCGCAATGACCATTAGAGGGGTTACGGAGGACCTAAATGCCAAAATACGCGTGAAAATAAAGAAATAGCCAATTTTGATTAATGAAATGGATATTTTGAATAATGGAATGGACTGCTGCGACCCTTTAACCCCTAATTATAGATATACCTAATACCTCATTCGGAAGCTTATTAAGAGAGAAACAAAAGGTATATAGTCAATATGTTCCGCAACGCATATTAGAGGAGTAACGAAGGACCTAAATATCAAAATACACGTAAACATTAAGAAATAGCTTATTTTGAATAATGGAATGGACTGCTGCAACCCGTCAGCCCCTGATGATGTGGGATTTAGTGGGAAGAGTAGAAAGTGCACTTTCCTGTTTGAGAAATACACTATATAGATAATGAATGAAAAAAATGTATGTGATAATTAAATGACAAATTTTGACATTTTCTCAAAACATTTTTTTTTAAATGTCCTTTAAAACATATGAAAATCATATGTTTTTCATATGTTTACAAACATATGTAAACATATTTTTTAAAACATATGAAAACATATGTTTGCTTCCATATGTTTTCATATGTTTCAAAACATATGTTTGGGACAAACATATGAAAAACATATGAAAATCATATGTTTTTCATATGTTTTGAAAACATATGAAAAACATGTGTTGCAATTTTTCCTGTGTACGTTTTGCCCATTTTTCTCTATTCTTTATACGTTTTGCCCATTATTCTCATTTATTTACACTTTTTGCCCATTTTTCTCTATTCTTTATACGTTTTGCCCATTATTCTCATTTATTTACACTTTTTGCCCATTTTCCTGTATTCTTTATACTTTTTGCCCATAATTCTCTTTTCTCTATTCTTTATACGTTTTGCCCATTTTTCTCTATTCTTTATACGTTTTGCCCATTATTCTCTTTTCTTTATACGTTTTGCCCATTATTCTCTATTCTTTATACTTTTTGCCCATTTTTCTCTTTTCTTTGTACTTTTTGCCCATTATTCTCATTTATTTACACTTTTTGCCCATTTTCCTGTATTCTTTATACTTTTTGCCCATTTTTCTCTTTTCTTTACACTTTTTGCCCATTATTCTCATTTCTTTACACTTTTTGCCTATTTTTCTCTATTCTTTATAATTTAGCACCTCGTTATTCTCTATTCTTCATACTGTATGCCCATTATTCTCTATTCTTCATACTGTATGCCCATTATTCTCTAATCTTTATATTTTAGCACTTCTTTATTCTCTATTCTTCATACTGTATGTATGCCCATCTTTCTCTATTCTTTATATTTTTTGCCTATTATTCTCTATTCTGTAAACCCCCATCCACACCCTCAATTCTGGTCTTTGTGATGCAGTCTGCCAAAAAGGGGGATCTACATTTGGGGACTTTCATTATTTTTTCCTTAACTTTTAGACTATTTTCTCTATTCTTTATATTTTAGCACCCCATTTTCTCTATATTTTTTTTCCTTTATTCTGCACTATTTGCACATTAAAATTTTCAATGCACTGATGATTTTTCTCCTTACGACTATTTTTTCTATATATTAACAGGATGTAACATAAATTGAAAACTACTGCGACATTTATTATGCAATAATATATATTAAAAACAACGTTTGCGTATGTGAAATGGACGTAAATTAATTGTAGAGCTACAAAAGGTAAACATACATTCATCACATTTATCATCTTTATCACAATAAATCAGATTTATCAAGTTGAGTGGAAGAGATCGATTGATTGTTATAGATTGTCCACAATTTTGTCCAGTGGCCGGATGAATAGGGTGATATAATCCAACTTATAAATGAACATTTTATTGTATTGGTGACGACTTTGATTTTCGGTGAACAAGAAACATATTGGCGGTCGGAATATTGATTTATTTATTTTCGATTTTTGTACACAATTATATCCTACATTTTCTTAGGATGAATGCATGATCATTAATAATAATTTTCAATTTACCCTGGATAAAATTATAATATATTTTTGTTGGTTCCTACTCGGCAAGATAATAATATATAAATATTGATTTTCAGTTCATATTAGGCCAAGATATTCATTTTCGAAATCCTCCTGGTCCCCGTATGAAATACAACGAGCTGCTACAATACACCAGTCATTACAACACTTGATCGAGTTAACCAAGCATCAACAATTGTTTTTTCCTCGAGAGTAAATCCCATTTAATGATACCATTGAAGTTTACAGTAAACCTTACTTGCGATTATTCTGAGCCCCACGATTGAACTATTTATGAGGGGTTTGGATAAGGGGGAAGCAGGGTCGGGGGGGGGGGGGGGGGGGGGGGGGGGGGGGGGGGGGAGTGAGTCAATGGACAGGAACCGTGAGAACTTGGAGGGGAATAACAAATAAGGGTATGCTAGAAATGTTTCTTGGACCGATTTGTGTCTGGGAATAAAGGGGGGGATTGGGAGTAACTTGAGGGGGAGAGAAGTGGAAGAAAGGGAGGAATTGGGAGTAAAGGGGGAAGAGGGAATCAAAGACCCCCTGTCTACACTCTCAGTTTATATTGCCACATGTTTCATCACGTCTATGCTTACCTAACCAAATTCACCCAAAACAAGGTAAGACAAGCATACTAGGTTAAGTACAATGTGGTAAAAATATTCAGTGAACACAATGAACAAAGATATCCAAATATTGTACGCCTGCACATGCGGACATAAATTATACTTTACTAAAGTATTGGACTTTATTTTTCGAATTTGGTATATGGATGTTTACAGATCATTCTATAAAGTATACTAGAGCCAGAAAAAAAGTCTCCTTTTGATAAACTGAATTTTATAGATAAAAGTCCTCTTGACAAATTCACAATATTCTTTGTAAAGTTACACTTGGAATAGAGAAATGTGCTAGTAACATTGCCTCTGGATCTGAATTAGGAAGATTCACCCTTTGTTGTTATATTGCCGCACACTCACTTTTGTACGAAGACCGACTTTTGAATGAAAACTCATCTGATTTACTTAAAGAGTGTCATTCTCTTTCAAAGTCACTTCATGATCAAGGTACATAATCATGGTACTCACAAGTAAATTAGATTAGGTCCGTTAATACTATTAGCCAACTCAAAGATGAATCTAAAAACAAATACAGAGCCTGTGAGAATCTTAGTAGAAATAACTATAAAAATGAATTTGAAAAAAGATACAAAGAAATATATGACGATAAGATATCATCTCTTGATCAAAATTGTAAACTCCTTTTGTTTATACATATAAAAACTGACATAGCCTAATCTTGATACAATAAAACTTATTTGCAAATTTCGGATTAGTGATCATTCCCTCGCTATTGAAACTGGAAGATATATTCCACGCCCTCAAAGACTGTGTAACAAGTGCTAAGTTCTGGACGATGAATCCCATTTCTTTTTATAATGTAAAATAAACATTGATAAAAGACAAGTCTTTTTTAAACGATTTAAAAACCACGCTGAAGTACGTCCATTATTCATTTTTCATTATTCAAAATTAAATAATGAATAATGAAATAGTTCACTATTCACTATTCAATATCAAGTGATGAATAATGAATAATGAAATAGTTTATGTTTCATTATTCAAGTTAAAGCGGTGAATAGTGAAATAAAAATAAAAAAATTGACTGTGACATTTTAGCTATATCCCGTATTTCTAAATTAGTCTTTTTGGTGTTATCTAACAAATATTCAAATTGATATCAGTAAAAATAAATAAAAACACTCTTTAAATTCTAATTTGATTTATTTATCTGGTTCCTAGTTTCGGAGGATAAACTAGGGGGTTTTCCTAACTATTTTTAACAGAAATTCCTTGGTTCAATGTATGGACGACCTGAATACCAAAACATATATTTATAAATTAAAATACTCTACGTAGTCTTTTTTTATTTTCACTGGACCTTTGCTATTCCTCATCCTCTAATTATAGATATAACAAGTCGATTGTTCAGCAATGACCATTAGAGGGGTTACGGAGGACCTAAATGCCAAAATACGCGTGAAAATTAAGAAATAGCCAATTTTGAATAATGAAATGGATATTTTGAATAATGGAATGGACTGCTGCGACCCTTTAGCCCCTAATTATAGATATACCTTATAACGAAGTAACGAAGTAACGAAGGACCTAAATATCGAAATACGCGTGACCCTTTAGCCCCTAATTATAGATATACCTTATAACGAAGTAACGAAGTAACGAAGGACCTAAATATCGAAATACGCGTGAACATTAAGAAATAGCTTATTTTGAATAATGGAATGGACTGCTGCAGCCCGTCAGCCCCTAATCAAGGAAAAATTTATACACCAAATTAAAGCTTATTGATAGAGGAATAAACTGAGTATAAACGATATGTGCCGCAATGACCATTAGAGGGGTTACGGAGGACCTAAATGCCAAAATACGCGTGAAAATAAAGAAATAGCCAATTTTGATTAATGAAATGGATATTTTGAATAATGGAATGGACTGCTGCGACCCTTTAACCCCTAATTATAGATATACCTAATACCTCATTCGGAAGCTTATTAAGAGAGAAACAAAAGGTATATAGTCAATATGTTCCGCAACGCATATTAGAGGAGTAACGAAGGACCTAAATATCAAAATACACGTAAACATTAAGAAATAGCTTATTTTGAATAATGGAATGGACTGCTGCAACCCGTCAGCCCCTGATGATGTGGGATTTAGTGGGAAGAGTAGAAAGTGCACTTTCCTGTTTGAGAAATACACTATATAGATAATGAATGAAAAAAATGTATGTGATAATTAAATGACAAATTTTGACATTTTCTCAAAACATTTTTTTTTTAAATGTCCTTTAAAACATATGAAAATCATATGTTTTTCATATGTTTACAAACATATGTAAACATATTTTTTAAAACATATGAAAACATATGTTTGCTTCCATATGTTTTCATATGTTTCAAAACATATGTTTGGGACAAACATATGAAAAACATATGAAAATCATATGTTTTTCATATGTTTTGAAAACATATGAAAAACATGTGTTGCAATTTTTCCTGTGTACGTTTTGCCCATTTTTCTCTATTCTTTATACGTTTTGCCCATTATTCTCATTTATTTACACTTTTTGCCCATTTTTCTCTATTCTTTATACGTTTTGCCCATTATTCTCATTTATTTACACTTTTTGCCCATTTTCCTGTATTCTTTATACTTTTTGCCCATAATTCTCTTTTCTCTATTCTTTATACGTTTTGCCCATTTTTCTCTATTCTTTATACGTTTTGCCCATTATTCTCTTTTCTTTATACGTTTTGCCCATTATTCTCTATTCTTTATACTTTTTGCCCATTTTTCTCTTTTCTTTGTACTTTTTGCCCATTATTCTCATTTATTTACACTTTTTGCCCATTTTCCTGTATTCTTTATACTTTTTGCCCATTTTTCTCTTTTCTTTACACTTTTTGCCCATTATTCTCATTTCTTTACACTTTTTGCCTATTTTTCTCTATTCTTTATAATTTAGCACCTCGTTATTCTCTATTCTTCATACTGTATGCCCATTATTCTCTATTCTTCATACTGTATGCCCATTATTCTCTAATCTTTATATTTTAGCACTTCTTTATTCTCTATTCTTCATACTGTATGTATGCCCATCTTTCTCTATTCTTTATATTTTTTGCCTATTATTCTCTATTCTGTAAACCCCCATCCACACCCTCAATTCTGGTCTTTGTGATGCAGTCTGCCAAAAAGGGGGATCTACATTTGGGGACTTTCATTATTTTTTCCTTAAATTTTAGACTATTTTCTCTATTCCTTTATAATTTAGCACCAAATTTTCTCTATATTTTTTTTCCTTTATTCTGCACTATTTGCACATTAAAATTTTCAATGCACTGATGATTTTTCTCCTTACGACTATTTTTTCTATATATTAACAGGATGTAACATAAATTGAAAACTACTGCGACATTTATTATGCAATAATATATATTAAAAACAACGTTTGCGTATGTGAAATGGACGTAAATTAATTGTAGAGCTACAAAAGGTAAACATACATTCATCACATTTATCATCTTTATCACAATAAATCAGATTTATCAAGTTGAGTGGAAGAGATCGATTGATTGTTATAGATTGTCCACAATTTTGTCCAGTGGCCGGATGAATAGGGTGATATAATCCAACTTATAAATGAACATTTTATTGTATTGGTGGACGACTTTGATTTTCGGTGAACAAGAAACATATTGGCGGTCGGAATATTGATTTATTTATTTTCGATTTTTGTACACAATTATATCCTACATTTTCTTAGGATGAATGCATGATCATTAATAATAATTTTCAATTTACCCTGGATAAAATTATAATATATTTTTGTTGGTTCCTACTCGGCAAGATAATAATATATAAATATTGATTTTCAGTTCATATTAGGCCAAGATATTCATTTTCGAAATCCTCCTGGTCCCCGTATGAAATACAACGAGCTGCTACAATACACCAGTCATTACAACACTTGATCGAGTTAACCAAGTAACAACAATTGTTTTTTCCTCGAGAGTAAATCCCATTTAATGATACCATTGAAGTTTACAGTAAACCTTACTTGCGATTATTCTGAGCCCCACGATTGAACTATTTATGAGGGGTTTGGA